TTGTGGTAGTAGTCAGGTTAGGAACCAAGGTGGTGTTTGAGTCCACAGACAGCACACAGCACCACCAGGCAAGTGGCGGCCAAAAGACCCAGAAGAGAGTGCCCCGACATCTTGTACTCAGCATTGGAGTCCCGGCAAGAGCTCAATACCTTTTTCCAACAACATAAATGGTGACCATACAGGGGGACCTTGCCAGATGGAATACACAGGAATCAGATAGACTACATTTGTACACAGAGATGAAGGAGAAGCTCAATATCATCAGTCAAAACAAGGCCAGGAGCTGACTATGGAACGGAGCATAGTTGCTTATATGCAAATCAGAGTGGAAGGTGAAGGAAATGAAGACAAGTTCACAAGAGCCAAAATACGACCTGGACTATATCTCACCTGAATGTAGAGATCACCTGAAGAATAGATTTGACGCATTGAACACCAGTGACTGCAGACTAGAAAAGCCATGAGACGGTATCATGAACATCATACACAAAGAAAGCAAATGATCATTAAAAAGATGGGAAAGGAAGAAAAGACCTAAATGGATGTCAGAAGAGAATCTAAAACTTGCTCTTGAAGGGAGAGTAGCTAAAGAGAATGTGAGAAATGATGAAATAAAATAGCAGAACAGATTTCAAAGGGTAGCTCAAGAAGACAAAGTGAAGTATCATAATAAAATGTGCAAAGACCTGGAGCTAGAAAAAGAGAAGAACACATTCAGGATTTCTCAAGCTGAAAGAACTTGTCCTGGTTACCTGGTGCCGCTCTGACAAGAATATACCACGAATGGGATGGCCTTAACAAACAGGAGTTTATTCTCACAATTTGGAGGCTTTAAGTCCAAGTTCAAAGTGCCAGGCACTAGGGGCTGGGTGAAAGCCCCTCAACCTTGGGGTCCAGCTCTGCCTCCTGCTCCCGGCCCACTGGAGCTAGAGGCGTTTCTTCACTCAGACAGCTGCTGGCTGCTGAGGCTGAGAAGCCCCAAAGTTGACAAGTAAAAAGGCACAGTCCTGATGTTACCAAACCACACGGCAGGCCATTAACTTAAGTGTATTGTAACATTGTAAGTCCCAAGGTAGGCAGAGCATGGCAGGCTGCTGAATAACAACATGGCTACATGCAGGGTTCAAACATGCCATAAACTAGAGAGCATTCTCAAAGCTTCTCCTTAGATACAGGAAGCAGACCACATCCCAAAGGCAGCTACTCAGCTGCTTGTGGTAGATCCCACCATGGAATTGATTACCAGTCTCATCATGGGGAATAACTACCACTGGCTGCCCAGCCACTCAACCAGACCCAGCCAAGTTGACACACAAACATAACTACCACAGAACTAAAGAAAAAGCTCAAGTCTTGAGTTGCAATATTGAAGGATTCTATGGGCAAAAAAACAAATGATGCAGGAAGTATCAAGGCTCCAGGAATTGATGGAATACCCATTGAGATGTTTCAACAAACAGATGTAGTGCTAGAGGCACTTACTTGTTTATGCCAAGAAATTTGGAAGACAGTTACCTGGCCAACCAACTGGAAGAGATCAACATTTGTGCCCATTCTGAAGAAAGGTGATCCAACAGAAGGTGGAAATTATTGAATAGTATCATTAATATCACATACAAGTAAAATTCTGCTGAAGATAATTAAAAAACGGTTGCAGCAGTATATTGACAGGGAATGTCCAGAAGTTCAGGCTGGATCCAGAAGAGGACATGGAATGAGGGATATCATTATTGATGTCAAATGGATCTTAGCTGAAAGCAAAGAATACCAGAAAGATGTTTACTTGTGTTTTATCTACTATGCAAAGGCAATTGACTGTGTGGATCAGAACAAAGTATAGATAACATTGAGAAGAATGGGAATTCCAGAACACTTAATTATGCTCATGTTGTTGTTGTTGTTGTTGTTATGTGCCGTCGAGTCGGCCCCGACTCATAGCGACCCCTCCTTGGGTTTCCGAGGCAGTTATCACTACGGAAGTAGGATTGCCCAACCTTCCTTCCGAGGAGTGGCTGGTGGGTTTGAACCGCCAGCCATCTGGTTAGCAGGCAAGTGTCTTAGCCACTATGCTACCAGAGCTCCTAATTATGCTCATGAGGAACCTGTATATAGACCAGGAGGCTGCCATTTGAACAGAATAAGGGGATATTGCATGGTTTAAATGCAGGAAGGGCATGCGCCCAGGTTTTATCCTTTCACTATACTTATCATTCTGTATGCTGAGCAAATAATCCGGGAACCTGGACTACATGAAGAAGCACATGACATCACGATTGGAGAAAGACTCATTAGCAACTGTGATATGCAAACAACACACCCTTGCTTGCTCAAAGTGAAGATGACTTGAAGCATTTACTGATGAAGATAAAAGACTACAGTCTTCAGCACGGATTATACCTGCACATAAAGAAAACAAAAATCCTTACAACTGGACCAATAAGCAGGATCATGATAAATGGAGAAAAGACTGAAATTGTCAGGGATTTCATTTTACTTGGATCCACAATCAACACCCATGGAAGCAGCAGTCAAGAAATCAGATGTCGTATTGCACTGCAAAAGACCTCTTTAAAGTGTTAAGGAACAAAGATGTCACTTTAAAGACTTAGGTGCGCCTAACCCAAGCCATGGTATTTTCAATTGCCTCATATGCATGCAAAAGCTGGATAATGAGTAAGGGAGACCAAAGAGAGTTGATGCCTTTGAATTGTGGTGTTGGCAAAGCATACTGAAAGTACCAGGGACTGCCAGATGAAGGAACAAATCTGTCCTGGAAGAGGTGAAGCTGGAATGCTCCTTAGAAGCAACAGTGACCAGATTTCATCTCACCTACTTTGGTCATGTTGTTAGAAGGGATCAGTCCCTCAAGAAGGACATCATGCTTGGTAAAGCAGAGGGTCAGTGAAAAAGGGCAAGAGTCTCAATGAGATGGATTCATGCAGTGGCTGCAATGATGGGCTCACGCATAGCAAGGATCGTGAGGAGGATGCAGGACCCGGAAGTGTTTTGTTCTGTTGTACATCAGGTCACTATGAGTTGGAGCTGACTTGCCGGCATCTAACAACAATAACAATTCATCTATTGATGGACATTTGGGCTGTTTTCTCAGACACATTTTTGATATTAAGTAGAACTTCCATATATATCCTGTATTTACACCTTTTTAAATAAATATAAAATTTGAAAATAAAACAGAAAAGTACAAAGTAAGTATCACCCTGAGTCCTACAACTTAGGGAAGTCACTATTCATGTTTTAGTTACTATTCCTCTACATTGCTATCTGGAGGCCCTAGATAGTGCGAAGAGTTAACATGCTTGGCTGCTGAGAGGTTGGAGGGTGTACCCCACTGAGAGGTGCCTTGGAAGAAAAGCCAGGAAATCTACCTCCTAAAAAATCAGCCATTGGAAACTCCATGGAGCACAAGTTCTACTTTGACACAGTGGGGTCACTGTGAGTTACAACTGACTCCATGGCAACTGACTTGCTTTTATTTTCAGGGAGATATGCTGATATTTTTAACTGAATTCATATTATAGGCAGTCCCTGGCTTACTAATGTTTGACTTACATACAACCTTTAGTTAGGAATCTATTATATTAATAATTTGAAGTACGTACAATGGTTTGCAACTTTGTGATGCACATAAAAAAACTATTGTTACTGTATTATGATAAAAATATATTGTTGTTTTTGTATGCCGTCGAGTCAGCCCCGACTCATAGCGACCCCTCCTTGGGTTTCCGAGGCAGCATCACTACAGAAGTAGGATTGCTCAACCTGCCTTCTGAGGAGTCGCTGGTGGGTTTGAACCGCCAGCCTTCTGGTTAGCAGTCAAGTGCCTTTGCCACTATGCTACCAGAGCTCCTACAGAATGACGTAGGAAAAAAATCTTCCAAAAAACGGAAAGCCCTACGGACCACAGGAACTCTGGTGGCGTAGTGTCTAAGGCACTTGCCTGCTAACCAGAAGGCTGGCGGTTCAAACCCACCAGCCACTCCTTGGAAGGAAGATGGGGCAATCTACTTCCGTAGTGATACCGCCTCGGAAACCCAAGGAGGGGTCGCTATGAGTCGGGTCCCACTCGACGGCATATAACAACAAGAAGGAAAGTCCTCAGCCATTAAATTTCAACTTAGTGACACCTAACTTCTTTTCCACTGATTTTAACTTCCAAATCCAGAATGTGACAGAAAACGTCACAGTAGTCAAAGTCCCATTTTATTCTTGTTAAAAATAAAATCATTAAATTTTGCAAACGTGTTAGGGTCCCGTTTACAGGGCAGCAAAAGAAATCACACCACTTCAAGCTTCTGGCCTCGCTCTCATCGTGTGACGCCGCTTTTCCTTTAAATGCCCGCACACGTGATGGCAGACCGCACGCAGGGAGGAAATTCATGCTGTCAGGGTAACGAGTCATCCTCCCCCACCCTCCCATCCATCTAGAGTATTTCTAGCGTTTCCTCCCCGGAAGCCACAACTCCTCTGTAGACTTTCTCTTCCTTATCTCCTCCTTCAGGTCACCTATCTTCATTCCTTTCCGTTAGTCTCCGGCCTGAGAGCTCCCTTTTCTCTCTAGTATCCCAGCCACTTTCCAGAGGAAGGGCCCGTAGGGACTACAACTCCCAGGGGGCATCACGGGCTCGTCCCCTCGGAGACGCGCGGTGCAGATCGGGGACTGAAGTCCCACGCTCTTTCCGACGTGTGTCTCTTAGAACAAGCGCACTACAGGTTCCGTGGCCCTTCG